GCAGTCTCCCCCCACCGACAAGTCCACAAGGTCAAATCTGTTGTTCTAGTCACAGGGCCTGGTGCAGCAGTCACTCTGTGTTTATTGAAGGAAAGGAAGAGGAATTGCAAGCAGCACAGAATTAGGACACAAATCTTTGGAACTTTCAATCCCATTGATCTGGTTGGTAGAAGCTGAATTGTGCTGGAAAGGTAAAAACTAAGTAACCAGCTAAATAACTTACTTTGCATGACTATTGCTGGGGGAAAATTCCCTGTTCATTCAAGTCTGAAGTTCAACTTTTCTTTTTTTTTGTGGTAGTAGCGATGGAACCCAGGGCTTCGTGCATGCTAAGCATGCATCTACCATTGAGCTACACCACAGCTCTGGTATTCAGCTCTAGAACTGGCTCAGAACTTTGTCTGATTCATTTATTCTTAGAATTCCCCTTCAAAAACAAAGGCAGGTTGCCTGAAGAGGTCACATGTGTAGCATGGATAGAGTTTAGAACACAGCAGGCATTCTCTGTTATGAGAATACTGGTCCTAGCAGGTTCACTGTTCCCAGATGAGTCAGACTTGGGCTCCCAGGCACACCAAAACCTTCCCCCAGCCAGCTGCTTATTTCAGCCCTGATGTCACCAACACACATCCCCCCTTTCTAGCTTCATGCATATATCTTCTTTTGGACTCTTACCTGACATTCTGATGTTAATTTCTTTGTGAACTCAGTTAACTCTGTATGTATTCCCTTTAATCTACTTTGTACTTGTTCTTAATCTTTCTAGAGAGAGCTCTGATCACGTTGCTCCTTTGCCTGAGAATTTGTGATTTCCTAATAAACACAGTTCTAAGTCTTCAGAGCTTCTATGATCTGGTCCCATTCTTCCCCTTCAGGGATGTGTTAATATTTGGCAAATTAAACTATTTTCGTTCCCCACCACTCTTCCTCTTAGGCTTAGTGCTGTTTCCTGGAGCTGTGTCCTTCCTCATTTCTGTCTGTACAAATCCTTGTCTTTTCTTGAGAAAGATACAGCTCAAGTGTCAGCTGCTCCATGGTGCCTTCCCTTACCTTCCAGCCAGCTCGCTCCTCCAAATACCCAAAACATGCCTTTTGCTGTTTCTCTCATGGCATCTTATTTGTTGTTATTTTATTTCTCTAATTCTTCTTCAAAAACCATAAGCTTCATAAAGGCCAGAGACTCCACTCATTCAATCATCCCTAGGTCTGGGGACCCTTTGGGACAAAAGACAGTTATGGTCAATTGTCAGGTAACAAAAGTGCAGGGTGTTAAGTGAATGTAAAAATGTGTCCCAATTGAATGGAGGTGGCTCTTGGAGGAGGGTGTCATGGAAAAGTGACTGAAGTATGACTTGATGGATGAGGAAACCAGGAGAAAGTGGTGGGTAGTTGGGGGACCGGCAGACTTGGAAAACACTTTGGGACAACTCTGGCTGGCTGATAGCAGTTGTTCTGAGGATTAAAGTCAATATCCATTCATAATTGCCATAGCCTTATATTTCAGACACTCATTTAAAAATGAGCAAGGTTCTGATGCATTTACTGACAAGAGAGTTGAGGCAAATCATCAGGCAATGGGATGAAAATAATTCTTGGTATTCTGTCCCAAAGTTCCCTGACAAGTACCTCTAAGCACTGCGGTGAGTTCTAATCTGCCAGCTTCTGCAAAATATGCTACAAATACAAGGCATAACCCCTGACTGTGAGGACTGAGTCAGGTGAGGAAGACACACCAGTGTGCATAATACCAGTCTTTTTTTTGCACCAGAACTAGGGAGCACTCAACCACTGAGCCACACCCCCAACCTTATTTTGTATTTTATTTAGAGACACTTTTGCTGAGGCTGGCTTTGAACTCTCAATCCTTCTGCCTCAGCCTCTGGGGGCTGCTGGAATTATTAGGTGTGCGCCACCCTCGCCGGTAATACCAGCCTCTTGTAATAACAGACAAGACTTACAAAGTAGTTACTATGTATCAGGTTCTGTTGTAAGTACTGTATATATAATTAATTCTCACAACTACCCATGAGGGAGATTTGTAAGACAGTGTGACAGAGAAGTGGTCTGGCAGAGTTAAATATAATTTGTCATGGGAATGGAAAGGAAGGACCCCCAGTCCCAGACTGATGGAAGGAGGGAGTGGGAAATGAGGACTAAGGGATGGGCTCTCAGAGGGGTGAGGCCTGAGCTCTTTTGAAAGTTCAGGGGAAACAAACTTGGAAGGGGTTCTGAGGGAAAGGGAGGTGGGAGATTCAAAGCAGGGGGATGGCCTGATTAGAATTATTTTAATAGTAATGTGAAAAATGAACTGGAAGAGGACCCAACTTAGGAGAAGGACTAGCAATTGGGAGGCTGTGGTTATTAGGCCAGAAGCAAGAGCTAGAATTAAGTTTGTAGCAATAAGGTTGAAAAAAAATGATGGAAAATGTTATGAATGGGGATGGGGAAGATAACCCAGCAAAGATACCAACTAGGCAAGAATACATGGAGCAAACAAACAACAAAAGAAAAAAACAACCAATTCACATCTTCAGAAAAGGGTCATGAGCAGCCAAGTATGGTGGCACATGACTGTAATCCCAGGCAAGTGGGTCACAAATTCAAGGCCAGCTTCAGCAATTTAGTGAGACCTTCTCAAAATAAAAAATAACAAGGACTGGAGATATAGTTAGCGGTTGAGCACCCTTAGGTTCAATCCCCAGTACCACCAAAGAGTCATAAGCAATTGTTTTCACACTGTAAGAAAAAGTTTACAACACTCCTCTTAGAGCACTGGATCCTGGCATAAAAGATATAAAAACATCCACCTGCATAATTTAATTCACATTTCCCTCCCTCAAGGCCTTGTTTCACAAAATGCCAGTGCTCCAAAAGAACTATAATGTTAGAACTGGCAGGGCAAAAATGTTCCTGGCTTCTTTTCCAAATCCCTGTGTTTGGGAGGGAGCGAAGTCCACCCAGATGCAGATTCTGCTCAACACTTCTGAGATGCCAGCCCTGCCTATAATCTCTCAAAATGGATAGAAAGGGCACTGACTCTCTTCGTAGATCATACTAAATTTATTACTTTTTCAGCTTATTTCATTGGGTTTCTGAAGACCAAATTGCTTTATAAACTGTAAAACCTAACAAGGCTTTTCCACTAACTTGGAAGTAGATTTAACAAAGAGCTCTGCTCCTGTAGACACAGGTCCTACTATATAGTGTGTACTGCTGTTTGGATTGCTAAACAGAACATTTTCTGCCTCAGCCCCTAATTTAAAATGAATTCTGGGGATTTTATTTGGTTGTGACCTTTTCTTGTTATGTTCTAAAGCAGTTTTCCCAACAGAGGGTCTTTAGATGGCAAAACCCACCAGAGGCAATTCAAAATTGAGGCAGCCTTATCCTAAGGGTGTGTGTGTGTGTGTTAGGTACTAAGCCTAAAATTTCTCAGATTCTCTGATAAATGGGACTCACTAAATGACTTCCAGTTAAAAGCATAGAAAAATGTTAATTGTGGGAAAAACTAGGCATGGATAAAAAAGTGGGGTATTTATGCACGGATGGTCTGAAAAATGATTCTAATGCTGTGTTCACAGCCTCTGCCGTTCTACCCAAAAAATGGGTAGATACAAACATTCCAATATTTTTGGTAGGAAAGTTCAAGTAAACCAATTGGAATGTAAGGGAAGGGCAGCAGCATCAACAAAACAAATTTATCTTTGTCTACAAGGGTGTTTAATCAATAGTTTGCTTAAATTTCTTACTAGATTGACTACGCCCTTACCTTTCCCACTTGTATAAAAGTTTACTTATGTTTAAAAAAATTATAGTTTGGGATTTGGTGCAAGTTACCCTTCCTTTAAACTCTCGGTGTGTTTACAGTTATAATATTCCTATCTTTGTCAGTTTAGTACTTAGAATAAACTTTTCTGTTCAAAAGAGAAAAACTCCAATTATTAATTTCTAGTCTACCAACTGAGATACACATCTTCGATTATTACTTTTATTATTATTCACAGAAAGGAACATGCACACCACAAGAATAAAATTATTTTAAATTCTACATTCTACACTATCCTCTGTGGCTCAAGCTACTGAAGAACAAATAGTTTGCTGACCTTGAATGGTCTGATAAACTTGTTAAAAACACTCAATACACTCACTGAATGAAAGAGAGCATTCCTTAAAATTTACCCTCTTCTCTGAACTTTAACTAAAATGCTCCTGGTTGCTTGAAGTCAATAAAAGAATTGGGGATGTGGCTCAGTAGTAGAACATCTGTTAAGCACGTGTGAGGACCATCCGAGACACCTAAAAAATGAACAAAAAATTATTTGCCTGTTACTGTCAGTATTATAAAAAACTCAACATAAATCTAGTTAGAAAGCCCTTCCTGGGCTGAGGGTGTAGCTCAGTGGTAGAGGCTAACATGTGTGAGGCACTGGACTCGATCCTCAGCACTTCATAAAATAAAAAATAAAGGTATTGTGTCCATCTATAACTAAAAAAGTTAAAAAGAAAGCCCTTCCTTTTGGCTCTCATAGGCTACTTACCTAAGTTATGGGACTGCTTTCCTTGCTATGTACCTATACATCCCTGTTTAACTTATCACTGAAATGACAATAGGTCTCTAGTCATTATTAAGTATGAAATATTTCAGAAAAACTCAGAGCAATGTCTATAAGAGGCAATCCATCATTCATTAAATAGCTTTTCACAGGAAGCCGGTTCAAAGCTCCAGGACCTGATGACTTCCTCTAACCAGTGTCCTTGATAGCCCCTCCCAATCTTGGGTTTGGTGTTGTGAAAAATCTGCACTTATAGCTCTTTTCTTACTTGACCAGGAAACTGATGCATATTGTCCAATATTCTCTATAGTCTACACACACACACACACACACACACACACTGGATATTAGGCAGTGAATATTGTTGATTTCCCTCATCCACTTGACCTTAAATAAAACTGCCAATTCTTCCTTCCAGCCAATAATAAATAACAACAGCAGGAAGTCTTATTCCATAAAGCATTAATAAGATATTTTAATGAGAAAAAAACAAAAACAAAAACAAATCTTACTCTCATATTTCTATGCAAAGACACTCAAAACTGTTTTTTTCCCTGTCCATCCTTTCTAACTGCAACTTTGTTTGTGACCATGTAATAAAGGCCAGTTTGAAGATTTTTTTTTTTTTTAAGTTTAAACCTTTTTAAAAAAAGATTAAACAATCAGGCTAGCAAAAAGGTACTCAATACATACTTTCCTTATATCAAACAAGCTAATATTTCAGTACAATATAACTATACAGGATATATACAATACACATATGTTCACAAAGCAAACACTATAGGCTCAGAACAGATTTGAAAAACCATGATATTCACATTGATTACAATAACTCTAAAAATGATTGTAACGTTTAAACGGCACTTAGTTTACAAAAGTCACAAAAAAATATATATATATATATATATGTAGTCACCAAGAACTATGGTTCCTGTAAAATACTAATAGCCGGATACTAGTATATAAAATGTGAAGCTCTGACATTGTATACATTTTTAGGAAATGAAATAAAATCCAAAACCATTTTTGTTATTGTCAAAAGTCAAACATGCCAAGTAACTTAGCTATGGCCACTGTCACCAAGTAAAGCCATACTTGAATGAGATGACAACTGGATACAAGCTGGTGAATCAAGGACTGGCACAGTTGAAGAGTTGTACTGGTCCTAGGAGAGGAGTGGAGGACATAAAGACACCATCTATGTAATTAACTCACATTTTCTCCCCAGCATTACCCTTCCTTGAGGGTTTCACAAGATGCCAGTGCCCCCAAAAGAATCATGTTATAGACAGCAGGGTAAAAAGTTTCCCCAAGACTTCCTTGCTGCTGAGTTATAGACAAATATTAAAGCATGCATCAGTTACACAGAGCAGTCACCCTCTGGAAGACTGTGATACAGTCTCTTCCTAGGCTGCTTGCATTAGAAAGGACTCCAGTTTTTAAATGAAGCCAGGTTTATTTGTTGGCCCTGTAATATATTGAGCTACTATAGCAGCAAATATGAAATCACACAAATAAAAACACAGTTTTATTTAAAAATCCATTTCTGTAACAGCAAAGCAACTTCCCCCCTTTAAATCTGTCCCCCTTATGAATTTCTTTTGTCACTGACTCCTGGCCTGTTACCACAAACTTTCTCTTATGCTGCTCTGAAAAAAGACACTTCCTAATCCTGGAAAAGCTTAAATTTACTCTTAAAAAGGGGAATACTAGAATTTTAAAGTAAAAAAAAAAAAAAAAAGTCTGTTCTAAAAGTATCTTTCACAAATATATATATTTAAATATTAAAATAGGCTACCTAGGATTTTTATAAAATGGCTTTTGAAAAGACAGTAGTGGCACAAAGAAGCCATATACTATCCTCCAAGTCAGACATAAGGTGCCACAAGGGTGCCCTACAAAGAGGCAGGCAATCTCTATCTGATGCCACACGAGGCACCAGTAACAACAGAAAAGTTATATATTATTGGGAACTTGAATCAAAATCAAATTTTACTCTACCAGGGGTGGTTGTTTTCCTAAAATATATCTTGAAGTAGAAGAATTAGAAGCCATCACTTGGTACAAGGAAGATAATGAATAGGTTAATGATCTTACTCCTTCCAAATACCTGATGTCATTCATTTCAGGTACTTGAAAGATGAAAAGTAGTGCAACTTTCAAAAATTTAGTGGACTACTCTCAGTATGAGAGACTTTACATAGCATCTGTCAACTTGAAAATTAAATTGATACTTCAAACAAAAAGAAATCTAGAGAACACACTCATAACATAATCATAGGAAAGGTTCCCTCTGGAAAGCAGGTATTTCTAAGATCTGCACAAGTCAATAATATCAAGGACTCGACATGTATCTGGAGATGACAGGCTTCTCTTGGAGTAGGAAAGATTTGTCCTTTTGCAGGTGATGGACTTTCATAACCTAAGCTTTCATTTATAAGATGATTTTCAACATGTTTTACTGAATAAAATCTGGGTATGATTAGGCTAGTATTTGGAAAACAAGAACAGTTTAATAAAAGTCATGACACTAGCTCCTCAAATAATTAAGCAGCAACTGTATCAAATCATCACAGCTGAGCCCAAGGCTTTCAGCCTGATCAACAAACTTAGTCCATTTAAGAGAGAAAGGAAATAAAGAATTTGATTTTATAAACCAGGCACTTTTAAACTAAAATAAAAAAATTTAAAGTTTTTATTTTTTTAAAAAAGTTTTTGTTTTCAATTCATGGTTTGAACTCTTTAAGTTCTTTGTAAACTACTATGTACACAGGAACCTTGGTATTAGCTGGAATTGGTCTGGGTCCTGTAGAGAGGGAGCTCAAAGTAGCACAAACACTTTAAAGCAGTCTCATTTTTTCAGATACTGCCAAACACAGATTCCAATAACATTGTCTGAAATCATTGCAGAGACTATTTTTAAAAACACAGAACTAATTTTCTATGATAAAAATAAGACCATGATTCTTGATGTAATTGGTATTGTCTTCATTCCCTACCTGACGTAGGGTTTAATTCCCCATAAATACAATAACAAGAATCTCAACATATCTGTAATCTAAGGTCAATAAAGCATTCCTTAGCCAAAGCTGAGGACTGGTTCAATTTCAATTCATTGTTTTATCGTTTTTGGCTAATTTGTCTTGCTGAGGACTTTTCAAATAAAAACACCCTATATCATCACATTCTATCAAGAAAAAAATGACACAAAGATAAAAATGGGTATAAACAAAATACAACTTAAATTTGACAATCTTAAGCCCAAGAATATGCTTATCTATAAATATTCCTCAGACATGTTCATAACAGCTTCACTGTTTTGTACTGCTTCAGAAAAGAAAATCTGGTTTCTACATAGTCTCTTCCCAATAACTTTTAAAATCTAAATATATTATAAATAAGGCATCTTATGTCAATAATTTACAGCAAAAACCACATTTATTTCCTTTTAGCAAGTTGGGGTTTGTTCCTTCCAAATGTGAACTTTATTTCAAACTCCTTTCAGTTAAAAATATAAAAATTTTTAGGATTGTTCATTCATCAGGTGATAGTAATTTTCTCTCTGTGGTATACTAGTATAGAATTGCCATTACATCATATCGTAATGTATTTTTCAGGGACTATAAAACTAAAAAATAGTCTAAAACACAATTTGAGAATCTTCTAAGTAAAAGTCACTAAATTAGATAACTGGCCTCTATTTAGACTAAGATAAGAGAATAAAATAAGGAGAGAGAAAAGACTGAAATATTTAATATAGCTTCTAAAGGTTCTCAGGGAACCATGTGTAGACTGGGAGAGTCTGGCTCAGTAGTAAGAGGGTAACTGTGTTACCACTGATTTAAATACAACAGATATGTGGACTAGCTCATTCCATTTGGTAAAATATTTTAACAAAATGAAAGGTTTTGTTTTTTTTTTTTTTTGGTTTGTTTTTAAAACCAAAGGGCATGTGTTATAACATGAAACCTAATTACTGTAAACCAGAATGGTTGTTGAATGAAAAAAAAAAAAAAAAAGAATGAATGAGGTTAAACATTTTAGTATATGTTTTTTTTCAGTGAAATTGCAAATTTTAAGAAAAATCCATGTTAAAAATTGTGGATGTTAACTTCCATCTGTACCCATTTGTAGAAAATTTAAAAATGCAAAAATAAAAACAAAAACAAAACAAACCCCCAAATCTGTATAAGTTGTTTCTGAATTAGAATTTCTGACATGCTAGATGTTGACTATTACCTTCAGAAATGAGAAGAATGAATGTAGGAGCTACTATATCCTTTATCATGAATATCTTTCTTTACTTCTAAGTGTATCACATCTATTTGGTAGTTAAAAAATTGAAAATAAAAGCTTATCTTGTATAAAATGCTTGGTTTTAAAAAGGCAAATTATCTTGCACTCTAAAATTTAAGCCCTTAAATATCACAAAGTTACCCTCTTTAGCCTTGAGAAAGACACCTATGCTTACATATTCTAAACTATAATATTTTATGTTTTGTTATGCTGGTAATTTCTATGGATGAGACAATATAACTGGCTTTCATCTCTTTGCAATAGTTTCCATAAGTTCTCATAAAAACTGTATATTCAGACATTCCTCTCTTAAAATAAATTTTAAATAAATCTAAATACTACTACATATATAATCATCCTTTGCAGCTCTGTTTTCTAAAACAGATTCATAAATGAAACATTCTTAAACCATGTATCAAGAAAAAAGTAGAGCCTTACTGAAGTAGAAAAAGACCTTTGTTATCACTTTGTTAAATAATAAGCAGTTACCTGTATTGGTAAGATTTGGGCAATAAATAATTAACCAGATGTTTTCACACAGTATATTCAAATTTCAGTAAAACTTTGAAATATATACTATTTGTAATGAGACAATGAAAATTTAAAATTTCCATCTGGGAAAGAATCCTTAGTAATGATAATTCTTTACTGTGAGCACAGTAAGAATACCTTGGAGGGCTGGGGCTCTAGCTCAGTGGTAGCGCATCTGCCTGGCATGTGTGAGGTGCTGGATTTGAGTCTCAGCACTGCATATAAACAAATAAAGGTCTATCAACAACAACAACAACAACAAAACACAAACAAACCCAAAAAGAATACCTTGGAGCTCCCAGTTTGGCGCAGGGCTCTTTTATGTAGGATTTTCAGGATAGGGGATGTGCTACAATATTTTCAATCAATAAATCGACAAATTTCTTAATTCTTACTTCCCTCCTTTTCTTTTTATTATGATTCCTGGTCATAATTTTACTTATGTAGGATTCTGAGATTAATTTTAAGATTATTTATTGGCAGGCAGTTTTCAATGACATTAAAAGCTGTTGACCTTTCTAGTTGAGACACAGCACTATCATATAAGTATCACAGTCTGTGTGGAAAGTAATTCAGATCTATCAGAGTAGAAACATAAATGGTGGAAGCCCATTATAACCTATATATGCTGATTTCATGAAGGTGATACACCTGTGTTTGTGTGCAAATGGGTAAAAGCCAGGTTCATAAGTAAGGTAGAAAACTAGAAATGAGGGCTAGAGGGTTCAGCTCAGTGGTAGAGCATGTGCTTAGCATTCAATCACCAGTACTCTGCACCCTCCAAAAAAAACCCCAAACCCCCCAAAGTCCTGACTGTAATTTGTTTCTTTTTTCCTAATTCAACCAGGTGCTTTCATATTAAACTTTGGACATTTTACATATAGAAAAAAAGCTACACAAAAGTTCTTTAGGCATGGACCCATTTCAGATCAGTCAGAGATACTTTAATGGCATCAGATGAAAAGTATACCTCAGCCTAGAGCATTATATAAATTTCACTTTTTAGCAGCAAAAAAGATGATATTCATTATTTAGGGTTTTTAGTTTTTTGTTAAGATTTAATCCCCCTCTCCCCAATTTATGAGTCATACGTCATTATTTTATAGCCTCTTCTCATCTTTTACATTATTGCTTACATTGTGTAAAAACTATAATAATTGCTCTTAATAAACTTGGCAATGTCTAAAAATATTGGAACAAGTAGCATATATCACTTTCATATAGGGCTTTGTAAACACTCTTAGTTGGGTTAAGAACGTAGCCTCAACACAGAATTCTTTATTTTGTCCAAAACAGCACAGTAAAAACATCCCCACCAATACATAAACCTATATATAAAACATAGAATATCTTCAATATTTTTCCTTTATATGGTAGCATACCAGTATATGCAAGAGAAAGTATTGATGATGGGGCAAAGGGAAAATTGATTGGGGCAATGACCTAGTTAGCAGTGCATTAACATTCGAAAACCAGGTAAACATCAATTTTAGTTAGAAAAGCAGTATTAAAATAGTTTCTATGAAGCAGGGATTTACATGCTTCATTCTACATTCCTGATAGCCTGACTTTTCTTAATCATGGTTCTTTACCTTTGGAGTGGTACTATAAAGGTACAGAGAATGCCTACCTAATACCAAATTTTCACCATGAAAAATCATAATAGAAATGACAAAGCTTAAAAAAAAAGTATGCTGGATTTCAAAAGTATTTACCTTAATAATTTTTAAGAAGGCTTACCATAAATATTTCCAAAACAATAGGCTTTACAACTTCCTGTGTATAGGAGCAAACATCTACTTGAGCCATTTGTCAAATTCTGTTTAATAATTACTCAAGTACCCTTTCATCTCAGAAGGATCAACAGTCATCTGATTTCTTCTTTACCTAATGATCCGTTGTCAGCCTACTTTTAACAATGGAAGAAAAAACTGGTATATAGTTTAAGTCAACTGGTTTTCCTTAAGTATCATAGTTCCTATTATGTTTCCACATCATGTTGCTGTGTACTTACAGAAGCAATCTTTCTCTTAGTTATGAAAAATAAAACATTAGTCAAAGGGCTTACAAAGTGAAAAGGGAAGTTCTTTCCCAAACCCTTTCTTGTTTAAAAAATTAAATTAACTTTAAATGTACAAGACCAAGCACAGGCACTTTCCAAAAACCAAAAATGAAGCCAAATCACAAAATTACTCAATAGTTATAGAAGACAGCTCTGATTTTGGGGGGTCATCTCTGGTAGCCTCAGTACAAGCACTGGTCTTTGGCTGCTCTGGCATTTCTTCCTCTTTTTCTGCCAGCCCACCAAGAGACCCCAAGGGAAAAGTGCTTTCACAATTCTGGGTCGAGGAGACCTGTGAAATTACAGGCATTTGAACAGAGGAGTTGCTTTCAAAACCGTGTTCTCCAAGATCATACTGAACAAGGGTCTCTTCTTGCTCCTGGTTTAAGTAGTCCGGTACTAGGAAATCACTAGATAAGAGGCAAAGGATGAAATACAGAGTTAATTTTCAAACCAGTAATAGATAAGCTACAATTAAAGGATGTAATATGTAAAACAAGATAGGGACTTTTCATTTCACTAATTCTTCAATGAAGGTTAAATCTCAGGAACTCTCAACTTATAAATTTTCCTGAATATGAACCAAGGTCATCAGTAGAACCAAAGTGCATCAACTCTCCCTACCAACAATATATAAGATTAATGATACTTCAGTGACCCTTTGGACACCTAACACAGCCTTTCTTGTTCTATGTAGAGGAGTGTCTGTATAACAACAAATATAAGTACCTCCTTCTAGAGAAGACCTTAGCTTAAGCAAAGATTATTTGAGTAACTTAAATGCTTAACTTTTCTTGGATTACACTGAGAAGTATATAAAACCATCCTTGTATTGCTAACTGGATACAAGTTAGTTAATAAACTAAGTTCTTATGCATAAGTGACCTTACACATAATCTACTATATAGAGAAACAATTTATCTTGCTATTAGATTTGAAAATGGTAACAAATTACTGTGGAATCAGAATTTGGAAATAAATACCTGTGACTGGTTACAGGTCAGTCCCCAAAAGTTATTTAATTATTAATTTCCACAGGAAATATATACAGTAAAGTATAATGAAATTTAATCAAAAGTATAAATTTTCCCCAGAAGAGACAAAAGATTTTAAAATTTCTTTATACTTTTCTGTATTTTCTATTATACTCACTTTTTGGTAGTTAAAGAATAAACACTGTGAAGTAATTATTATCTTAGATGCTATATGTAACTCTTCATTATTGAAACTAAAAAAGTTCAATATACCAGGACTGTCAATAAGTAATACTTTTGATATGGCCATTTTATAATCTCATTGTTCAATATTAGTAGCAAAATAAAAATCTGGTCATTTTCAAAGCAATTTCAAATGTTCTGTATTTTAGTTTCTAAAATGTCTTCAGGATTAGACAAGATGAGTGGAGGACACAGGGGAGATACAAACAGAGGAGTGGTTAGCTCCAACACTATTTTATTTCAGAATGACTGTTTAATATGGTATGTGTAATATAGGTTGTGATATGACAATCACATTTAGAATTAGAAATGATTAAACAAAATCAGTATCTAGTTTGAAGGGGAAAAACAAAATCTATGCAGAAATAGTTTGGAATCTATTGAAAAATAAGGTTTTAAAAACAAGTAATTTTAAATAGATTTATATGAGAAACTAAGGATTCCTACAGAGGTACAATTCTTATAAAGTATTAAAAAAACACACAAATAGAATTTTATTTCTAGAGAAGGCTTTAGAAACCATTCTGTTTACAGCTTACATTTTATCTTTTGCTAAGTTTCAAGTTCTTCATCTGTAAAGTGACATGCTCAATCAACACAATTAGTGGCAGAGCTAGGACTAGAACCTGATTTCCTTGGATACCCTATAAATCAAAAAGGTCACTCTATTATAAATTATTATTATTAAAAGCTGGAGCTCTAAACTGAAAGAAAATAAGAGAGACTTCATTGGATCTAAACAATCATATCCATTATAATTGCCATCAAAGTTTCCTTCTTATTGGTAAATGAACATTCCTTTACTTAGGATTAAAAAAAGGGAAGTGGGTAAGAATTTTACTACTATCCAGAGTCTGAAGTAATGTAATATTACTAAGTATCACCTGACATGGTATATTTTCTAAGATCTATTCCAGATCCACTACAAAAGTACTTTAATTTCATACTTAAAAAAAAAAAAAAAAATCAAGAGGATAAGTAATCTACATCTGTAGGAATATATAAGTGTGTTTGTGTGTGTTTGTGTGTGTGTGTGTGTGTGTGTATATATATATATATATAAAAATATAACTTTTATTGTTTAGGAATATACTTATAATACCAACTATAAAATATTAATAATTTTATATATTTAGGAGATCCAGCAAAAATTTTATCAGATCAGGAGATCAAAGTATGGATCCTGGGAATTTAAAATGAATGTGACTGATTAGTTGGCAACCTGATTTAAAATAACACAACAGGCTGCCCTAAAAGCAGGAAAAGAGAGTTTAGAAAGCAGTTTTCCTGGTTGGATTTTCGTTGTGCACCTCACCTGCTCTGGAAGTAGTTTGCTAGCTCTGATGCTTCATGGTTCAGACTCCTCAGGTGCACGATTAAATTTCCAGAGTTGGTGAACATGGCGCCACATGTTTTGCACTCGTAAATCCGAGGCTTGCGGATAATGTGCCGGGAAACCCTCATATGGTGTTTATATTCCCCGAAGGAAGTGAAAGTAGCACTACATATCTGGCACCGGAAACAGCGTTTACCTTCATGCTTTAGGCGATGCATCTTTAGCGAGTAAGCCCTGGTGAACTTTTTCCCACAGCGGTCACACTGAAATGGTTTAATTCCTAGAAAATAAAGCAAATCAAAATAACATCTGAGAACAAAATGAACTGAAAAGGTCAAATACCTCACAAATTTCTGAACTATAATTTTGTAGATATAATTTAAATTAAAGACAAATGTTATTAGAAAAAAAACATTCTAATTCAGTTATGCAGAAAAGGTGCAGAGTATTTGAAGTCATTAGTGCTTAAAAATAAGAATGGAAGAGGGCAAATTAGGTAATGTATACTGAAATTGATCTCTGAATAATCTTCTAAATCATTTCATTTACAGACCTCAAAACACATTTTAACTACTTAGAATTTAGATAGAACCAAATTTTCCACCAAAGAACATATTCATTTCACTAAAGAGACTTAAACTGAAAATGTCCCCCCGCATCTCAGACAGAAATGAGAAGAAAAAAGGAAAATTCTAGCATTACTGTATGTCATGATCACAACAGAACCATCATTTGATGAAATGGCTTTTTGAGTATTTATTATGCTATTGATAAAAAATGTTGAATTATAAAAGATTGTTTCCTTAAATTCATTATCACAGTTTTATGGAGAAAGAAAAACAAACTAAAACATCTTATAAAACACAATCATGGATTTAACAATGTCTCAGAGAACTGGCATTAGGATAGGAACTTTTAAGATCTATCTACAGAATGAGAAGTGAGGTACTAACATAGCTGAAAACAGCAGCAAAAATCTCTTGTCCATCAGAGGGCAGTGTTTTACCCATAAGAATCCTGGTAAATTTATGTGGTCACAAAACTTCATCAAAACCGGATCTACCATTTACCTAAAATCTTATACTATAAAAATATAGCTATACTAATCAGAGCAGAGAGATGAGGATTACATAACAAAATTATATTAATAATTAAATATTAAATCTTTTGAAGCATTTTTTTGTATTTTCAAATTTACAGTAGTTAACCTAAGAATGATAAAAAAATACATATACACTCTTATAAACCCATTTGCTTTGCCATCTGTGCAATTCTCTATCTTACATATGTAAACATACCAAATAGACCCAATATTTTTTATTATTTTCCCCAGTATCTTTTAATATACATATTACACACTGAATATTGAATCAGAATATGTAATACCTGTCAGAAATGCATTAGACAAATAGTTTCCTGACAATGCACCATTTCAGCAATGAATCTAAGCTAATCTGTTCTCATTTGACTTCCAGAGTTTTTCCCTTTTTTCTTTACTCAAAAGCACCTGTTTTCTATTTTAATTAGGATTCAAAAATAAAATGTTTTAGAACACTCACTCATGAACCAACAGGGAAAATGGCATTACCTGAGTGGATGAGCATGTGCTGTTTTAGGTTCTGAATACGGGTGAATCGCACCCCACAGGTTGGACATTGAAAAGGTCTGTCTGGACCATTTGGACTTGGTCGTTCTGTACTGCTGGTGGAAGGAGCAATGTAGAGTTGGTAGGGATATTGAACACTTTCCAATCTAAAAAAATAAACCGAAAAAGGCAACCAGGCTCTGATTTTTAAGTTGAAAAAACATTTCTGCAGGTCAACTTTAAAAGAACAAAAGAAGAAACACTTAAAGACTTCTTAGAAAACAGTTTGACTGTTAGGAGTTTCACCTAGAACAATATGAAAAACAATGTTACCAGAATATGTAGCATCTTAAATTGAGCATGGACATATAACTACAAAACCTATCATAGACTATTTTATCTTAGATATCATTAATCTCTCTAGTCCCCTTTTGCTACTACTTTAATTTAGGCTTCCTCCATACAAACTTGAATTAATAACTTTGTTTAGCACCACACTCCCTTCTCATGGAATCACAGAACTCTGACTAAGTCAGTCTTCCTTTAAAAGCCTGCAAAAACTTATCTTCACAATACAGTCTCAACCCCTTTAAAAAGCATACAATACTCCTTATATCTGATTTCTGTCTACCTTTTCAGCCTCATTTCTTGTCATACTCTCTAAATATATCCTATACCAAATGATCCCTCCACTGTTCCATAATCTCTGCCAATTCTGTGCTTTTAGACATTTAATCCCTTCTCTAACCTTATTTGTCTAGATACTGCCTAATCATTTTATAAAATGTAGCTGAGGGGGCTGGGGCTGCAGCTCAGTGGCAGAGTGATTGCTTAGCACGTGTGAGGCGCTGGGTTCAATCCTCAGCACCACATAAAAACAAATAAAATAAAAAATGCTATCCATCTACAACTATAAAAGTAAAAATAAATAAATAAATAAAATGTTGCTGAGCTGTCACATCCTCTTCCTTGAAGCTTTCTTTATCAGTAGCTTAGCTGGATATCATCCTAGGCAAAGCAACCCAACTCTCTGCAGATGATTTAATGATGACTTGTTTACTTGTCTATCCTTCAACCTCTCTTTTTCTCTGAAAATGGATGGAGCTCCTTGAGGGAAATGGCTATGCATTTCAACTCCATATGCCTATCATTCAGTACCATATTTAATAAACAACAGAAGAACTGAGTAATATTTGAAATTACGGAATCTGGGCATACTTCTGCTTACTTATCTTTTTATTACTTCATGCAAATGATTCTGGTTGATAATCTCAGCCGGATTTAGCTATCCAAGAACAATAATCCTTACTGGGTTCTTTGAATCCTTTGAATTTTTCATCAAATATAATTTTTAAGATTGTCCTGAAATCTCTATGAGGAGGAATTTAATCATTCAGTGGGGTATATATATTCAGTGGTGAGAGGCAAACAATAATCAAGAAAATGATCAAAGCAGAGAATAAAAGTATGAAGATCTAATAGTGATGGGGTGCTGGTTTAGACTGTTTATCAGGAAAGGCCTCTTTGATAACCAACACTGAGACAGTGATCTGAAGGCCCAGAAGGAGCCAACAACATGAATAGAAATAGAAAAGAAAGCATTTCAGGTAAAGGACATAGAGAGGCAAAAATGCCCAGAGGCAGGAAGGAACAAATATGAGGTATTTCAAGAACTGAAAGGGCAATGTGGCTAGAATGTAGTATACAAGAGGGAGAATGATTTCATTGGAGCAGGCAAAAGCTGTATCACACAGTTGTTTTAAAAGGCATAGTGGGCTGTAGAGTACAGCTCAGTTACGGAAAGCTTGCTCAGCAAGTGCAAGGCCCTAGGTTCCCTTCTAGTACCACAAAACAACAAAATACAAAAATGAGCAAGCAATTTTAGGTTTTAAATATGAATGAAGAATAGCAAGTATCCACAGCTTGCAACACAACCTAATCTGATTAAAAAAAAAAAAAGATGATGATGATTTTGGCTACCACATGGAAAATAAAGTTGTGGAATAATGAAATCAGGGGCAAGTTTGAAAGCTACTGTAGCAGATGAGGCAGAAGATGGTGATGACTTAAACTAGGGTGGTTATGGCATAGAGAGGAAAAATAGACTGGGGCTTGGGGATATATTTTGGAGGTACAGTTGACAGAATGTAAGGATTAAGTATAAGAGAGAAAGTGGAGAGGGAAGCAAAAATCATGAGTAATTTTGAGATTGTGTTTAAAAAAATGGGGGATAAAAATGAAAGAAAGAAGAAAGAGGACTTAGATAGGAAGTAGAAATCAATAGTTCTGTCTTGGTGTTATGTATGAAATCCCCCTTATATGTCTATGTATAAGTAGGAAGGGTAAAGTGAAGACAGTGACTTGGGAACCAGGGTATACAGATCAGAACTGGTACCGTTTTTGTAGCAGGCCAGATAGTAAATATTTTGGCTTTGCATACCATATGATCTCTGTTCCAATCACTTAACTCTGCCACCCACCAATGATATATAAGAAATAATGTGGTTATATTCCTCTAATAGTTAATTTATAGAATAAAGATGGCAGGCTGGAACTGTCCTGTGGTACATAGTTTGCTAACCTCTGATATAGATGCTATTTAAAGCAATGGACTAGATAATTTTGGAAATGCCAGAAAAACAAAAATAAAAATCTATAACTTTTATAGGCAGTCTAATGTGATGATGCTACCTCATTACTCTGAAAAATATACACGAGGTCCTGATAAATTTCTTATACTCTTTTGAGATAAAACATTTAGAGTTGTAAGCACAACCCTTACAAGAAAACCACATATTACATTAGAACTAACCGATCATCATCATCCGCATGAGCATTAGTGCTAGAAGTGCTTTGAAGTGTAGGCAACCCCTCAGTAACGCCTTCATCTACTGAGCCTGTGAATAAAAGAATGAAAAGAGGACAGTTGTCAATACTTTGGTGCAAATAAGCCAATATATTACTTGCAAACCACTTATCCATGCCTCTGACGTGTATTTTCTAGTATTAATATGTTGAGTGATTAACCAAAAGCAGTAGTGTTCTATATTATATTTTTACTTTAATTAAATGTTTACATGATTTTAAAAGAAATATGTAAGACAAACTTTAGATTACTATTTAAATTCTTTAGAAAAATTTCAGAAAACAAGCAGAGTAATTTAAATGCAAAATAGAATTCACATAAAACTAAATGATATTTAACTATTATTTAAGGAAGCACTGGCAATTTTTATTTTATTGTTTTTGGTACCAAGGATTGAACTCAGGGACACTTGAACACTGAGCCACACATCCCCAATCCTATTTTTGTATTTTTTTTTGGAGACAGGATCTTACTGAGTTGCTTAGCACCTTGTTGTTGCTGAGGCAGGCTTTAAACTTTCAATCCTCCGGCCTCAGCCTACAGAGCTGCTGGGATTACAGGCGTGAGCAACTGTGCTTGGCTGCAATTTTTGTTTATTTTAATTTTTTAACCTTTAAAAAAATTTATTTGTTCTAATTAGTTATACATGACAGCAGATGCATTTTGATTCATAGTACACAAATGGAGCACAATTTTTCATTTTCTCTGGTTGTACATGTGCAATTTTTATTTTTAAAACTTATCAAATCTAATCACTCACTCTACAAATTTAAAATACAGGGGCTGGGGTTGTAGCTCAGTGGTAGAGCACTTGCCTAGCATCTGTGAAGCCCTGGGTTCAAGTCTCAGTACCACATATAAGTAAAATAAAAGTTCATTTACAACTAAAATAAATATATATTAAAAAATTTCAAATACAAAGCAAACACCTAGGAAACTCCACACAAGTCACAAGATAATACTGCTGGCATTCTAGATGTTCCCATTTATTCTTCCCTAACAACAAACCCTCCTTCACAAGCTTGTCTTATATGGTTATCATTTCCTCCTCCACTCCCTCCTTTAAAAAGTACTTTTATCTCAAATACATGCACCCATAAGTTAGGGATTAGTTCTTGCTGGAACACAGCAATGGGCAGTCTAGGGCTACTCTCACATTATGTATAGTGTAGCTGTGGTTGCAAAAAAAGACCCCAGAGCAGTTAAATCTTAACTATCTACTAGCTGGCCTTCAAAGAGGTTTGCCAACTCTTGCCATGAACAATATATTTCAGGGTTGCCTGGTTATAAAACTTGATATAATTATAAAATGAATCACACTGTATGTATTCTTATGGCTTGTTTCCTTCAACACTGTGGCCTCATTCATGTTGACAATTGAAGTTTATTTTCATCACTGCAGAATATTAAGAATTTCTCCATTTTACTTTTTTATTGTGGGAGGCACTGGGGATTGAACCCAGAGGTGCTTTATCACTGAACTATATCTACATCCCCCCTCTTTTTAAAGGTAGGGTTTCACACTAAGTTGCTTAGGACTTCACTAAGTTGTTGAGGCTGGTTCTGAACTTGTGATCCTCCTGCCTCAGTCTCTCAAGCCACTGGGATTACAGGTGTGAACTACCAGGCTTGACTCATCCATTTTGCCTTAAAAAAAAAAAAAAAAAAAGTATGTACATGTGTATATATATGTGTGTGTGTGTACATATACATATAGTCAATGGACCTTTATTTATATATGTGGTGCTGAGAATTGAACAAGTGCCTCACAAATGCTAGACAAACGCTCTGCCACTGAGCCACAACCCCAGTCTCTATTTTACTTTTGATGAAGTTTCAAGCTATTATGAACAATGCTGCTGTGACTATTCTTGTACTATTAATACATTTAACTTAAGTGCATGCTTTTTCTCTAGGGTATATACTTAGGAATGGGATTGCTAGGTTACCTTTATTAGAAAATGCTCTTTTTCAATGCTTTAAATTTATATTACTACCAGCATTTAATGACAGTTGTATTGCTCCACATTCACACCAACACTCAGTACTGTTGGATTTGAAAAATTTTGCAAATTTGGTGAATACTTACCACATATTTCATTGTTTTTCATTTTCTTTCTTACAAATGAAGCTGAGAAACATTTCATGTATTTACTGAAACTCTACCTTTGTGAAATGCCAGTCTTGCTACTGAGATGTCTTGCTTTCTTTTCTTTTTTTTTTTTTCATATTTTGGATACAAGACCTTTTGTCAGTAACAGACACTACAATATATTTCTTCATCAATGGCTTATCTTTTTATGGGTCTTCTGATGGCCAAAGATTTTAAATTTTAATTAAATTTATTAATCTTTTCCTTTATGGCTATGGTTTTTGGTCTTATTAAAAAATCTTTTCCTATCTCAAATTATCACAGAAGATTTATGTGTTGCGCTTTTGATATTTAGGCCTTTTAAAAAAAATCCATCTGGAGTTGATTTTGTAACCAAATGCATTTATTGAAAAGTCTCTTTCTCTTCTTTGCAGTGTCATCTCTGTAGTATATCAACCATACATAAGTACATCTGTCTGTTTTCAGGTTCTCTTTTAGTTCCATCTGCTGATCTGTCCTTGCATTAAAGCCCATCTTCAGTTATCAGAGCTTCATAATAAATCTTGATCTCAAGTACAGCGAGTCCTCTGAGTCCATTTGCTTCCTGAACATTTTGTTTTTGGACCTTTCATTTTAATATACATTTTAGAATCAGTTTGTTGAATACAAATGTTAATGGTCATTCCATTTCTCTCTTCTATTAGTTTGGAAATTATATAATATTTTCCTTTTTTTTTTTACTATTACCATAGAAATTATACACATTCTGGGTCAGGCCCTGGTTTCCTAAGTTGCAACCATAGTGCAAGAAAAAAAAAATAGGTATGTATTTATTGAAGTCTAAAGTTAATCAAAACCTTTACTTCTTCCTGATAATACAAGGATCTTGGTGGTTTTAACTATTTTCTACCTGTTCCCATTCTGCAATTTAATAATTATTGTCTGATATTTTAGGTGTTTGTTCTGATTAGGGCCCCACGAGGCATTATTGCTCTCTTATATGAGCAATGTTTACTTACATTTATTCACATATTCACCTCTTCCTTTTGCTCTTCACCTCTTATATGAGAAATTCTGTGTTCACTTTTACTTCTGTCTGTTGTCCATCTTTAAGAAGCTTCTTTAGTGATTAGCTGATAATTGTGTTTCTTTAAAAATGTCTTTCACTTTCATTCTTGAAAGATTTCACAGTGTGTAGAAATCTACATCAGCAGTTATTTTCTTTCGGAACACTTGAATATCATTGCACTGTTTTTTGATATTGAAAAGTCAGATATTCTTCTTTTCAAGGTAATTTGTCATTAAAAATTTTTTTCTGAAGAATTTTCTCTATGATGTCTCTAGTTTGTGTTTTCTTTTTATTATTCCTGATTTGTGATTTGCTGGCATTTGACTGACTGATATCTTTCATTAATTCTTGAAAATCCTCAGCCACTCTCTTTTCCTTTCAGGACTTTTATCAAATCTACATTTGCATCCTTCACACTTCTTCTCTTCTCCACTGTAATCTCTTCTATTGTGTCTCTCTGTGCAGCATTCAAATAATTTCTTCTAACTTATCCTCTGGTTCTGAATTATCTTTTGCTAAATCCCTTCTATTGCCAAAATGTTCACTGAGATTTTTATTTTGGTTATTTTTTCCTTTTCAATAAGTCCCTCCCCCCACTCAAATTTGCTATGTTAACTTTTTAGTTTACTGTTTTCTGCAATTATTAAGATTATTAATTTGTTAAACTGAATAAGTATATTTGTTTTATATGTCTGAAAACCATGCTAATTGAAAATGCCAATTTATTTTTGCTGTTTTAAAATTTCCCTGTTAGTGGTTCTCTATTTGCCTTGTTTCTTATGTGCCCCGGTTATTTTTGACAGTGGTTTCTACCCTTTATAATAATTTGTAGGGGATTGATTTGCTTCCAGAGAAGATTTATGTCTGCCTCTGCTAAGCTCCTGGGGAGCTTGACTTAAAAACAAGTCACTCCTTGAGACTCCTTGGCCTAGTCACAATAGGTATAACCAGGATGTAAATGTGCAAGTGGGCTAGTAGTGACCATAATTTCTCAGACATGTCTGCCACTGGCAAGGCAGTCTTCCTATAGTGCACCAGAGACTGAAGGATGGGGAGCAGGTCTAGTTTTAGTTAGTTAGTACCTTTGAGGTCCCTGCTTAATGTATGGTAGCAACTTTCAATCTTCACATGCTGTCTGGACTTTGGCTTTCATTCCCCTTATTCTCTGATGAATCTGCACCTGGCATTTGCTTGGCAAATGTTTGGCAAAGCATTAAACTTGTTTTAATGCTGATAATGTTATCTGTTTGGCTCAAGGTCCCCTCCCCCTCTAATTTAACCTGGCATCTTCTTGACCATCTTTCAGGTTTTCAAATACTTTTAGGGTGGTCTGTTTAAAAAAAAAAAAAAAATATATATATATATATATATCTCAACAATCTGTTGTTTGTACTAGGGACAGTGGATCCAAACGACCTACCCTCATCAGGTAATAAACTTTGTCAATTTCTTTACTATTTGCAATCAATTTCTTTACTGTCTGATTTGGTCATCAAATGGACAAATCTGAGCTTCCGAAAAGGTCTATTTTCTTAATTGTAAACAAATTTTGGTTACAATATTTTAATGGAAGTTAAAATGTACTAATTGTAACAGTTTGTATAATATTATATACATGTGAACATTTAATTAATATCATCTGTTAGCATACATAGGATAAAATTTACTCCTGATAAAAATTTACAATCCAATACTTCAGTTTTTCCTTTTGGAACACTTGAATTAGCTGGCATTATTTGGAAACAAGTACATTTTCTATTTAAGTAAGATTTAAAAAAAAAACACTAACCTAATCCCTCTTAAGGCATCCAAAATTACTTGATCATTTGTGCTGGAAAATTTGTTACAGGGCTACAATTTACCTTGCCTT